TGCCCGCCCTCCCCAGTGGCGGGTCCCCTAGGCCTCCCCTTCTCTCCAGTAGGGCCTGGCAATGACCACCTTCTCCAGCCGCGGCCATTTAGGAAATGCCAGTGATTAGCGATGGTTATCGTGGTAATTAAAATTCCCTGGGCACAGCTTGGCCAATATCCATCAGTATCTGCAGTCGGGCTGGCCGTGCCTGAAATCGTAATGAAAGCCTGGAAGCAGAGCACACGCCGGTGCCGCGGGGAGGACTTAATGCCATTGGCCACCCCAGCGAGTGCATGGCGGCTGTGGGGGTCTGTCCTCATTAAATGGCATTTTCAAAGCCGGCTGCTTTGCTGGCCTTATCACAGCAAACCACACGTGGGGAGCAGAGCAGGGCTCTGCAGCCTTGCACAGCTTCTCCAGATAGTGACCCTCTCTGCTCTGTGGCCCCTAGCCGGGGTGGGGTGGGGTGGGGTGGGGTGGGGTGGGGTGGGGTGGAGGGCTTTTCCTGCCACTGTGCTGGGGGAGGGGGCCAGGCACTGATGCCAGGCTGTGGGGGACGGGCCTGAGTGCAGGGAGCAGAAACCACATGAAAAGTTACCGTTGTGCATTTTGCAGGGTGAGGGTGGGCATGGAGGCGAGCGGAGGCCCGAGGATGCACATGGATTGGCATGGGGGGAGGGGTGGCTGCTCCGATCTCAGCCGAGCTGGGATCCCTCACGCCTCGCCTCACCAGTCCTGCTCTCCCGTGTGGAAGGCATTCCCCAAATACTGACCGTGTGTTCATGCACCTCCACCCCAGTGTGCCCTCCATGCGGGGCGATGCACCCGTCCGTGTCCCCTGCCGGAAGGACTCAAAAAGTGCTGCTCCTCCAGCTGGTCCAGGGTCACCAGCCAGTCTGGGCTGGTCAGGTCTCTGCCCACCGTGATGGCAGGAGGCCTCCACCGGACTTCAGTGCTAGCAGGAGGGGAGCAGACAGCCCTCAGGTCCCGTTACGGGGGCTCGGGGAGTAACTGGCCTGCCCACTGGGCCCTGGGGAGGCACTGCAGGCTGGCAGACCCGTGGGATCCCTGC